CGAGGAAGCGGCTGTCGCAGCTGCCGCTTCTTTGGTGTCTGAGGCTGACCCTGCCAATGCTGCTGCAGCTGCTTTGAGCCACCAACAGCAGTCTCATCACCACAATCATCATCACCAGCAGCAGCAACAACAACAGCAACAACAGCAGCTGCATGCCTTGCACCACAGAATGTACGAGAATGCCTATGGCTCTCTGGTGCACGCTGCTGCCAGCCAACAGCATCACAGACCCGACCTGACGATGTTGCAACCTACTACTTTGCCTCCCGTCAACAATAGCAAGCCTCCCCATGGCTCTGACGAGTGGCACCGTGTGAGACGCGAAAACCACAAGGAAGTCGAGAGAAGAAGAAGAGACTCCATCAATGCTGGTATCAAGGACTTGGCTGCTTTGATTCCCACTCCTGACACTAACAAGGCTCAGATTTTGCAAAGAGCGGTAGAGTTTATCAAGAGGTTGAAAGAAAACGAAAACAATAACATTGAGAAGTGGACTTTGGAGAAGTTATTGACTGAGCAAGCAGTCAGTGAATTGAACGCTTCCAATGAAAAGTTGAAGGCTGAGTTGGAGAGAGCCTACCGTGAGATCGACTCCTTGAGAAGACAACTTGAAGAGAAGCAGTAAACTTCTTTAAAATGTATTTGTACCATAGGCAACTTCCTATTCTGTTTTATTAATTTTATGTGAACTACAAGACTTTCAAGTGTAATTTAAAAAATGTCATGCAATTGATTTTCGAAGTGTTCTTCTTATGCAATGCGGGAGGCTTCCGCTACCCGATGTTATGATGTAAAATTGTCTGTCGTGTAAGTGGGCAAGTTGTCCTTTTCTTTAGCTCACTGTTTTATTCTTGCTGGTAAATTGAGGGATCTCAATTGTTTCCTTCCTCCTTTTGTTCAGGATTTGGTTCATTTTTGTTATCCGACTTTTCGTCCTTCCCTGAAGTAGCATCAGCAGTATCTGGCTTCTCCTCAGATTTCTCATCATTAGGAGCTTTCTCTGACTTTTCATCAGACTTCTCCTCTATCTTGTCTTCAGGTTTGTCTTCAGGCTTGTCTTCAGGCTTCTCTTCGGACTTTTCTTCGGGCTTCTCATCGGACTTGTCATCGGACTTTTCTTCTGAGGTTTCATCAGGCTTCTCCTCCGAATTGTTGGCAGCATTTTCGCCTTGAGCGTCCTTATTATCAGCATCACTTGGCTTGGCTTTGATGTACTTCTCATACAAACCAATATATCTGTCTACCTCATCTTCAAAAGAGGTGTAGTCCAGAAGGAGACGGTACAAGAATGGTTCATATTTGAGTGGCTTGAACTCTTTTCCTTTTTGGATGAGAGGCTCGGTTGTTTTCCCGAAAAGTAACCTCATGATTTCGTTTTCGTGGAAGGATGTCATATCTCTCAGCGCAGCATACGCCATGAGGATTTCATCGTTAAGTAGAAGGTCCATAAGATCAGACTCACCAAGCTCGAGAAGGGTTGTCACCTCTCTAGAAGTCAAGTCTCCATGAATATCGGGCTTACTGAGACCCACCAGCTTCTCAGAAGACTTTGCGCCATAATAGGTGTCCCACAGCTCTCTGGCTCTCAAGAAGTAACGCAAGTCGTCTTGATGAAGCCAAAGCCTAAGCTGCGGCATAAAAAGACGACGACTGAAAAACTTCTCTAGAAGGCCCTTCTTATTGTATTCCGCAGTAAGAATGTCCGAGTAACGCTTTGGAATGTATGCAACTTTGCCCTCAACGTATGACTTGATTAATGGCGAGAGCTCAGCAAGGCTCAGGAAATGCTTGTTACGACAGTTGTACAACTGAAGCTGATCGTTGATGTTGTATCTGTTTGACTCAGAGCTCACTTCATCCGGCAAACCGTCAGTGTATCTTTTTGGCGTAACGTCCTCACTTACTGCCAATGCAGTGATGTCAATGTAAAGACCTGAATCAATATCGATGAATCTAGCATCAATGTTATTTTTACCGTTGCTGTGGCCACGAACAGTGATGGAAGAGGTGACGTCAATAAAGTAACGACCAAAGCCATCCTTACCGTCTTCGACAACAAGCGACTGATTGAAGTAGAGACCCAATTTGTGAAGACTCAGAAGAGGAACCTGAACATCAATATCGTTGTCCCATGGGAATCCAATACCATTCCAGTACCAGGATAAAAGGGAGCCATGGGCCATCCAAGTGGTGATACCTTGTTTACGACAGAACGACAACCATGTGCGGACCATTCTGTGCAAAGTAAGTTCCTGTTCTTCTGTGTTTATTTTCACACCGCCAAAGAATCTCCAATCATAGTGATCACCAATGACAGTGTTGAAAATTCTGGCCTCCAGGAAGTATTTGGGAGGATTCTTCTGAGTGGCCACGGAAAACTTCACCGAGTTGAGATAGTCTTTTTCCATTTTAGTGAGGGGAGATGCCACGTTCTTCTCTTGAAGTTCTTTGATGATTGAGAATGGGGCCAGAACAAAGTCCTTGTGCTCCAAGTTGACCTGATAGTCATTAATAACACGGTCAGTGAAACTAGGGACCTTCTTGTTCAAGAGCTTGAACTGCTCCACGGTGTTGATATAATTTTTACCCAGCAGAGCAATGTAATGCTCAGGAATACCGTTGTGCAAAAGTTTCAGCTTCACACCCGTGGAGATATTGTAGGACCCGTCGTCGGTCATGAAGATGATACTGGCAGGGGGAGGAGCGTGTGTGTACATGTACGATCTGCCAGCCAACATTGCCATTTCAGGGGTCATTCTACCTGGGTAAGACTTGACATTGAAGCCCATTCTGAGACGATTACCATCTCTGTGGTCGAAATTCAACTCGTCGTCCATAACACAGTATTCCTTTGGATCCAAGGCTTCGTGTTTGTTTTCTTTGTCATGCTTCTTCGCCTCGTTAGCCTCTGTTTCTCTCTGGTCGAAAAACTCACACGGCGTCTTCTCCTTGGCGAAGATGAATTCGTCAAGCACGGACATGTCCATCCAATCAGCCCAATGGAAAGGCACCTTGACCCCCTGGGGCAGCTTGCCCGCTTGCATGTGGAGGTAGTAGTAGTAGCAAGCCAAAGTGAAGCGAGGATCGAAAGGCTGAACGTCAGACCGGCTGGCGTCTTCCTCGTAGAAGTATGGTGGAATCTCTAAATCTGTCTGCTCTTTGGTGAGAGTGGTGTCGATCTTCCAGAAAGTATGTTCCAAGTCGTTATTCTGCCGATGGCGTACGAGCTTGGACACTTTTTTGTTGAACTCCAGGTACATGTCATTGTCCATGTTGGAGCTTTTCCATAGCGAAAGCGAAAGCAGATCCAAGTAGTTTGTTTCGGCGATAGACGGTATCAGCGCCAGGGTGAGCCAGAGGGATACCACGATCAAGAGACCGAGGACCACGGCAGCCTGGAGGGATCTTTTTCTGATGCTGACGAACATACGTCCGGAAAAGAGTGGGTGGTTGGTTGGAATTGTGAGGTTGGGGGCTAAATTTGATAAGCCGCAGAGGTAGGTAAAAAAAGCAGCAAGGCGGCACTCCTCAGCAACTACCTCCGTAGACGACGATGGACCGGGTTGTTTTGGTTTTACTTCTAATTTGTAGAGCTACATTTTCTACGAAACTTTTATAAAAGTGCCTGATTCACGAAATAGTGTCACTTTGTGTTGTCTTATGATGGACAACCACATTTGGGAAGCGGTCCAGTGATGGTGCGATGCCGCGAGAATGGCTGCGAATGCTTGGCCTCCCCGAGATGTAGGCCGAAGCAGATCTCTGTATTTGCTTTTTCACATAGTATAGAAATCTGAAACTGGCGACTGGAATCCTTCGACAGCGAAAGCCAACCTTTACTTTTGTCACACGAGCCCCCCCAAGCCAGTGCAGACTTAGCCGCTGTGAACAATCTTGCGTAGCATTCAGCCGATTTAAAAAAAGACCCCAACGGGTTTTAGTAATACAGGTAAGTTTTGGTCATCCTTTGAAAAAAGTGTGCCCTGAAACCACCACAACCGTTTTACTGACAGGCTGTGTTTTCTTGTTCATTGTGATTATCCATCCGGCATTGGTTGCGACAAAGGCGGTGGTACCAAAGTCGAACAATTGGGCGCCCAGGATTTACACCAAGCCGAGCTTCCCCACCCGAGAAAAGTGTAATTGCACAGCAAGGGACGTCGCTACAGAGAGGCGTGTTTTGAAAGGAAACTCCAAATCACTCAATTTTCCATCTGGATCATATACGAATTGCGAGTTTTTCACATTCGGGAACGGGACGGAACAGGGATCCGCGCTCCTGGTTAGCACCACTGACTCTGTGCCTGCAGGGTTCTAGAAACACGACGTCAGCCGCGGCCAGCCCTACCACTCCAATACACTTTACCATAGACATTAGACTTTTCGGTTTTTGATGTAGATTTCGTATTGAGGTGTCTTTCAACGCGAGGTTGGGACAATTGGGAGGGGCACGTGATTGAAACCACGGCACCACTCGCGTCCTCGGCTACGGTGCTGAGCCTTGGCCAGACCAGGGCGAAAAGTAGCCAAAAAGCTTCAGGCACAGTGGATTGGTTGAAAAGATTTTCACCGTTTCTCAAAGGAGACCCTCTGGCTATTTATAGAAAGGTGTTTTGGCGTCGCTGGTGCATTGGCTACGCATGTGAGGCTGTGACTAGTGGAAATGCTCGTTTGCAGCCACTCTGACACACGTCAAATCGAGAAAAAATGCAGTGGTGATGCGTGAATATGTCACCGAGGGCTGTGTCTCGGCACTAGAGACATACTCCGTCAAGATTTAGATCACTGCCCCTTGGTGGCTATGCAACCCCCCTCAAGGAGGCTTGCACCGCAGTCGGTAATAGGGCGGCCAGGTACGGTGGAGTTCCGTAGTGATTTTTCAACAACGGGCTTGCTTTGGTATTTGGATTATTTTGATGAGTTTGATTGTGGCTGGTTGTTCATCTCATCACGGCCAGCCACCAGATCTGAAATTTTCAAAAACGGCTTTCTCCTGGGTTTCACCACGCCCAGCCAGTCTCCAGAAAATTGTGCATGGCAACGCCCATAGATGACGTGTGGGCTACCATGGCTGCGGTTCGATTGGCCCAGTAGGTCCAGCTGGCTCCAGTTGCATGCCACAGATTCACCACATCAACCCACGAGATCACTGCAAGGAACAACCCCTGAATACGCATGCGTCTTCGCTGGGCCAGGTCAATTTCAACGGCTTTCGAGTAGACGGTGAACATAAGGAAAAATAGCGAGTACCATGGGGTGCACTTGTGGTGCTGCTTGTCTGGACCGTCCCAGACATCAAACGACTTAGCCACTGAGAGCGTAAGCGTTAGTGCCACTAGGATGTAGGCAGGCAAAGACAACTTTGTTTTGGATTCTTGCATTGGAAATTATCAGCACCAGCTGTGCTCAACGGTATATGTTGGCAGTTATATGTCAACGACGGTTGCGAAAGCCCCATTGTTGAAGGATCCACGCCCGTCCCCCTTGGCCTTGACAGGCGCTTCAGCCCCTCGTTGGGGTAATAAGCATGGGGTATTATTTGGTGAATGACAGTAGTGGGGCGGTCACCATAGCCCAATGTATGACGGGTTTCGCAATCAAGGAAGCCCGTGTGACTGGCTGTGCCCCTAACGGCCAAACCCCTTTTTTTTTCTCTTTGGATGAGGCCAGGCCTTTTTAGTATTTGTTTTGCTAGTAGATCCCTGCGTTGCGGAATTGGTCTTTCGTGTAGAGACAGCAAGGAGTGTTGGTGATGTATCCATGCATTTGCTTGGCGACATCGTGCTGATGGAGTGGTTCTAGAGACGCTGGAAGGGGATTCTTTTGAAGGACTGAGTTTTGAATTGGAATTGAGGCATTGGAATTTGTTAGATTGTCAACGAGGTCCCAAAGCCGTGTGTAGTAAGCATGCTAATGAGATGAGCATTTCTACCTATAGTCATAGGCTCTTCACGAAACCATGATTTGGATCTGAAAATCATGAAGAGCTGGGTTGTCTCGCCACTTATTGAAATGCTCTAAATAGCGAGTATTAAACTTGATGTGGTGATCACCAAATCTGTGGCTCATGTTACCGCCTTTGCGACATCAACCTCAGGTGAATTGCTGAAGAGACGAAAAGTAACTAAAATTCCATTGGTTGATGATGCTAACTCTACCAAGTGTCTTATATCAAGTAATTATTGTTTGCAGGTTGCATTTGCTCTCTGACTGGAAACTATAACTTCCATGACTTTCCAAAGATTCATGCCCCAATTGCAATTCCCACGTCTTCATACTCATCCAGAGTCTCCAAGCGTTTGATAGAGATGCCCTCTCAAGTATACCAGGAGATAGCCGAAGTTTCCGTCACAAGGTTCCGCCCAGATTGCTTAACGAAATATAACTCATGCGCCTATCGCCCATATGCTCTTAATCCGTCGTCTCAAAGACTACTAAAGCTAGCTCGTACATCAGTCTTATCATCGCGGAGATCCCCGAGTCGTTTGAAAACTCATAATCACAGCGCTTATCTTATCAGTTTTCGCAGCCAATGACAGTGCGATTCAGCAGCCATCAAAAACGTGCAAAAACGGACCAAATTGTGAAAACGACCCTAAAAATGCCCGCAAACTCTTGTAGATTCAGCTATATCAACCACTTTTCAAAAAAAGCTTCACTTTCCTCTTTTAATCGTCTGAAATCAGTACTTCATTGCACGGCGTTCGTTTCGCTAAGGCTTGATAACAAATGCGCCGAGCAACAAATTACTCACTATGCTGGATCATCGCCCTGAACTGCATCAGTTTTGCACCCTTCACGTAGTCCATCTATATGCTTATCTTTTTCTGTACATTTAAATCCCACAATCCCCAGTTTCTTGCAGATCTCATTTTTCACCATGGATAAGCTCAGAACCGTTGGAAGGAAAGTCTATCGCAAGATATCGACCAAGGATGGTTTCCTTGGTGACTACGATTATGCTTATCTTTTCATTCCTGACATACCCTTTGCCAAAAGGGAGCCCAAGACACAGCCGTTTTTTGGCCTCAATTCAGAAATGCCCTTGTTCCTCGGATTTCTTCTAGGACTCCAGCATTCTTTGGCCATGTTGGCTGGTGTGGTTACACCCCCACTTATCATATCCACAACGGCGAATCTTTCGCCATCATACTCTGAGTACTTGGTCTCCGCGTCGTTGATCACCTCAGGTCTCTTATCCATAATACAGATTACCCGTTTGCGTTTATGGAAGACCAACTACTTCGTGGGCACTGGTTTGCTCTCAGTGGTTGGTACTTCCTTCTCCACAATCACTATCGTGACAAAATCGATCCCCATGATGTACGACAGCGGCATTTGTGAAACTATTGACGGTGTCAAGCAGCCTTGCATTGCAGGATACGGCCATTTGTTGGCCACTGGTTCCATCTGTGGTCTTCTCAGTGTGCTTTTATCTTTCACGCCGTCCAAGATTTTGAACAAGATCTTTCCTCCTATAGTTACCGGACCCGTGGTTCTTTTGATTGGAGTCCACCTCATTGAGTCTGGATTCCAGGACTGGGCAGGTGGATCCTCTTGTGTTGGTGATGTTTGTGGAAAGAAGGAGTTGCATTGGGGTTCAGCTGAGTTCATTGGCCTCGGTTTCTTGGTTTACGTCACAATCATCATTTCAGAAAAATTTGGATCTCCAATCATGAAATCGTGTGCCGTTATTGTGGGCTTGTTGGTGGGCTGTATTGTCGCTGCTGCCTGTGGCTACTTCTCTCACGCAGACATTGATTCTGCTCCAGCGGCCACTTTCTTGTGGGTCCATACTTTTCCATTGAAGCTTTACGGACCAATTGTTTTTCCGTTTTTAGCGGTCTATATTGTCTGTGTCATGGAGGCTATTGGTGATATCACGGCTACTTGCGATGTTTCAAGATTAGAAGTCGAAGGCGAAGTTTTTGATTCGAGAATCCAAGGCGGTGTTCTTGCGGACGGTCTTAATGGTATTCTTGCAGGCCTCATGACTGTAACGCCAATGTCGGTTTTTGCCCAGAATAATGGAGTGATTTCAATTACGAAGTGCGCCAACAGAACAGTCGGATACTGGGCTGTGTTTTTCCTTTTGATCATGGGAATTTTCAGCAAATTCGCTGCCGCCATTGTGGCCATTCCAAAGGCTGTTTTGGGCGGTATGACGTCGTTCCTCTTCACGTCTGTCGCCGTGAGTGGAATGAAAATCATCTGCTCTTCCGAGTTCACCAGAAGAGACAGATTCCTTCTTACAGCCTCGTTGCTTCCGGGCTTTGGAGCCACGCTCGTTCCTGACTGGTTCAGCTACGTGTTTACCTATCTGGGAGACAACTCCGGATTACAAGGTTTCCTCGATGCCATCGTGTTGCTTATGGAAACCGGATTTGCATTGACTGGTGTGATTGGCGTGATCCTCAACCTCATCTTGCCGCAAATGTCCGATGATGTAGAGGAACTCAATGAGGTTGTTTTGGAAACTGTGGGGTCGGCAGACCAACACGCATTGGAGGCTTACAGGTCCAAGGAAACCGCAATTTACGAGCTGCACGGTATCGACGAATCAAGCTCAAACAAAGAACGTGCCTAGACGGCCAAATGTATAATAGCATCGACCAATCAACCAATCAAGCATTTTTCAATATCACATTCATGTTCCCCGGATTAGTGGCATGCAGGCTCTGTCAAGTGGCTCTGGTTTCCGAGCAGGGCCGCAGAAACTCCGAGGATGAGGAGGAAGTAATGATTTTCATGTTTTGAAATATTCGTTCAAATCACTGTAGACTAAAAAACTGTCACCGCTGCCACCTGCCTGATTTGGTCATGTGCTCGGCTGCGTTTTTTTTGACTCCGGTCCGAGCGAAAAGAAGGCACCAGTTTTCACCACAATGTGCGCACAGACCTCGGTTATCTATTCTTCATATAGCGCTCAATGCGCTAACGATACTAGAGCATCTCTGCCAAGTTTTCACTCACGTCTTTTTCTATATCTAGTTCGCTTTTGGCTGCTTTTTTCGACTAGACTTTTATTTTTTAGTGTTCATCATGGAGATGCATGTGGCTCAAACCTTCACCAAGACCAAAAGTCCGCTTCCGTTATCGTTGTTGTTGCGTCTTAACGGATTGCTCAAAAAGTCCGTTTTTTCCAGAAAGTTTTACCAGGAGATCAACGACAAAGTCTTGAGCAAGTCCTCGTCTGTCGATGCTAACTTGTACTTTATTTGCTACTTCACCTTGTTGTTGAGCGCCATCTTAAACAACAAGCCCAAGATCGTCAAGTTCATCAATCAACAAAAAATCAATGTCATCAAGTTGATAAACCGCAACTTCAACACATCTTTCAGCACCGATGAAGCCATCAAGGAGAAGGTAAGTGCATCCGTCGACACCGCTACATACCAGCTGAAACTTGCCGTTCATTTGAAGGCTATCTCCTCCTACATTGCAGATGTGAGAATCTTCAACCGTCTCACAGAGTCCATCAAATACATGCCATGGATCATCGATGAGTTTGCTTCCATGACCAACCCTGCATCCCCAGTTCCTAAGTTTGACCGCATCATCAACTTCCTTCAATCCATCAACTGTCTTGTCTTAGAGCTTTTCGAACATGCCGGATGGTTGACCGACCACAACTGGGTAGGTACAAGTGACAACGACGGCTGGTCCATGTTCACTTACGTCTGGTGTTCGAGAGTGTGGGGTGCTTACTTGGTGATTGAAGTTTTGGAGCTCTTTAGAAGAACACCTTTTGCCAAATGGGACAAGAACTGGCGCTTGGCTGTGTTCAAGCAGGCTATTCAGCTTCCATTGGTTGTTCATTGGTCGCTTTATGAGGGCTGTTTGACTCCATTCTGGGTTGGTGTTTGTGGCAGTGGTGCCTCCTGGTGGGGCTTTAGAGATATGTGGAGCTCGATTGATTTGAGCTAGACTCATGACAGCAAGGTTTGTCACATACAATTATTTATTCTTCTTCCAATATAAACTTATGATACATTACTTAGCCACGCCCACTGCCTTCGCGTCGTTCCTCTCCAACTGTCTCGACCTGTCAAAGTACAAGTTGGGGTGGTTGATGTGAAGGTTCTCGTTCTTCCCCTGCAATTGCTGCTTGTGTGTGATCTCGAAGACACGGGTGCAAGCAACGGTGTAGTCGTTCTTGTTGACGTCTTCGACAATGCCATTAATATCATGCTGATCTTGAATGCCCATCTGACCCAATGTGTCCACCAACAGTTCAAGAGGCAAGTCCCTGTAAGGACAGCCATGGTACTCACCCTTCTGAGGTTTGGGCTTCAGTAGAATGGTAGCACAGTCCCAGGGCTTGTAGTTGATTCGACCACCTTCCAAACCGTATGTGTGTCTGACATTATACTTGTATTCC